GCACTTATCTGACTGATAATGATTTGTTCAGCTGTAGCTGGAAACTTATGCTGAGAAAAAGCTGAGTTTTTCTCCCTCTAAGGACTAATTATGTGGCCTCTGTCGCCATCTTGTGGCGGAACGTCAATTGTCACTTTCTTTGGTCTGCTCAGTCTGATGGCAGCCGATACGCTGAATCACCGAAATTATAAATATTATAAATATATGTTGTCCAACCGTAGCAATATTTGTCAAACTGTAGAGTGTCCTCTGCTTGTCACTGTATGTGGGCAGAGTAATACACAAGGGTGAAGGGTGAAGAGGCTTTATGAGTGCTGTTATTGCAGAATACTGCACAGCTATCAGCCAATCAGATTCAAGAACCAGAAAGAACTGTTGTATAAATATAAATAGTTTTTATTATTTATTTATTGCAGTAAAAAAGTGCTGATAAAGAAAATATTTTTTGTAGAATGTTAGCATGCTAAACCACCTCTCGCACTCAGAAGAACAAACACAAAGGCAGTGGAAACACCAGCGTACAGATATAGCACCCCATGTCAATGCAAAAAACTTTAGGAAGTCCTGTCTCCTGTTTTTAGATCTGTGTTCACCTTTCACTTGCCATGGACTCTTAAAAAGTTAGAAGGCACCAATCTGATTCTAGGTCAGCATTTCCCCATCAAACTGCTCCCTCTAGGAGGGCCTCCCACTCTGGCCTTTAGCTGTCCTGACAGTCTATGTGTCCATCTGCATAAGAATGCTTTACAGAGGAAGGAGGAGGGCCAAACCAACTGATGAAAACTTTTCCTGTTCCTCCAAACCCTTTCATTCCCCTCTCTCCTGTTTCTCAAGACTTGGCTGGGATGCACACTTCTGCCTAAGTGCATTTTATACTAGTGTCACTTGTTTCAAATGTGAGATGTGGGATATACATTCATGCTTATAAAAACATTGTCAGTGAAGTAACAGGAAAGTACAAACACAGACCTAGTCAAACTCGATTCTATCCACCATGCTTCCTCCAAGATAACCTTATCTATGAGACAGTCCATGCTTAAATATTTAGCAATGAATTGGAATGCAGAAAAATACTCTCTGTGTTTCCCTCTCGTATCATTGCTTCAGGGTTATTGGGCATGTATTTGTTTTATGAAGGCCGAATGTGTGAAAATATAGAGTAAGGTTTAGGGTTACAGAGTGCACTGGGGCTAGTTTTCACATGAGGATGTTGACAAAAGACCTACGTCAGTAACTAGAAGGGTTGCAAATCGAATGTCCTCTTATTATATATTTGCATATTTTTTGGATAGTTTTTTTATTATTTAACAATAGCCCCTGGCTGGGTCTCTATTTAATTAGAGACTATAAAAATCATACACCGTAAAAAAAAATAATAAAAAAAAAAGTTCATAGACTGTTTCCTATGTTTTATGATTCATGGCTGTTTTCCGAATATGTGTGGTGAAAGAAGGCTTGCATTGGCTCGAGGCCTTAGTGTTCCACCAGTGATGATATATAGCCATATAGCATTGCTACTTGTGTGATACTGCATTTATACAACAGTTTGAAGCCATAATTGTGTATATAAAAAGAAAATCAAACACGGAGAGTCTCAAAAACCTTTTTGTAAGAGGAACTACTTTCTTCCGTCACTCATTCACCTCTGCAACTGACCAGCAGAACAGCAGAAACGATAACTAATTTTTAGAGCTAGTATTTGGATGATTCTCTAGCATAGTATCTAAAATGATGACAAAACAGGTGATTTTAAAATTTTAAAATGATAAGGCTAAACAGCATGAAACGCCATCAGTCTACAGAGATTTCCCAGTATTTCTCTGTTGCAATCAGGATATCACGAAAGTTAAACCCAAAAAGCCAGAGCAAAGCGAACACTAACAGTTTCTGTGGTATAAATACAGCACTACAACATACAAAAGAGAGAGATCGACTCAGAATGTCGCTTACCTGATTCATCATGATTTGTTCAGCTGTAGCTTGAAACTTATGCTGAGAAAATGTTGAGTTTTTCTCCCTTTAGAGACTTATTATGCAGTCTCTGTTGCCATCTTGTGGCGGAACGTCAGCTGTTTTCTTTGCTCTGCTCAGTATGACAGGCTGATGGCGGCTGATGCGCTGTGAGTCACAGAAATTTTAAATATTTAAAAATAGGCACTATCTTTATAAATAAACTGCATAGTTGCAATGTAAACCACTACATTTTCTACTAAAAAAGCCTCAAACGTACAGTATGTTGTCCAACAGTAGCAATATTTGTCAAACACAAAATCTGTTTTCCGATTATGTGTGCTTTTGATTTGCATTATCAGTTTTGATAATTTCCATTTTTAGTCATTTGAAACAATATATTGTCTTGCATGGTCATGTTAATCACAATACAAAAAAGCAGGCTATTTGCTGCCAATAACTTTTCTGTTTTACACAATATTTTTTTATTATATTATATTATATTATATTATATTATATTATATTATATTATATTATATTATATTATATTATATTATATTATATTATATTATATTTTGTTATATTATATTATATTATATTATATTATATTATATTATATTATATTATATTATATTATATTATATTATATTATATTATAATATGTTATGTTATATTATATTATATTATGTTATATTATATTATATTATGTTATATTATATTATGTTATATTATATTATATTATACTATATTCTATTATATTATATTATATTATGTTATATTATATTATACTATATTATATTATATTATATTATATTATATTATATTATGTTATATTATATTATATTATATTATATTATATTATATTATATTATACTATATTATATTATATTATATTATATTATATTATATTATATTATATTATATTATATTATATTATGTTATATTATATTATATTATATTATATTATATTATATTACATTATATTACATTATATTACAATTGTATCTAAAACTGTACATTACATTTTTAACATCAGAACTTATTGGAGCAGAGATCAAGGTCCAATAATGCGATTTGATTGCATAAATAAAGGAAAACACATCGTGAGCTACAGACAACTGTTAACTCATGTGGTTATAAATTTCATACTTCAGTTGAACACAAAACAAGGTATTCTGGAGAATGTTGGAGAAAACTGGCATTGACATCCATAGTAGGAACAAAAATACTATGGAAGTCAATTTTTTTTTTTTTTGCATTTTTTTCAGTATATCTTCCTTTTTTAAACAAAAGAAAGAAACTCAAAGAGGTTTCGAGCAACTGAAAGAGGAGTAAATGATGACAGGATTTAATTTTTAGGGTGAACTGGGTCCCATTTAATACCCACTACATGAGGTCTTATAAAACTACTGTAAATTAACTGTCATTGAGGGAAACATCAATTATTTACAACATCATTACCTTTAATCTTTAATTTTGGTAGTGGTAGTAGTAGTAGTCGTAAACTTGTTTTCCTTGAAGGAAAATTTGTTATGGGCATCACCATATTGCTGCAGACATCCCATAAAAACAAACAATAAAAACAATACAAAATTACAATAATTATGACACTAATTAAGTAATAAACCCACTGAAACAGGTACAAAAGATTTGTTATATCGGTTCAACCTACACTTAGGGACTCTATATCTTCTACCAGAGGGAGTTGGATCATTCAGAATCCTTTCCACCTGATTAAGGACACAATTCTCGTATAAAACTTGAGGATTAAAATATTCTTTGTGCCCAACAATTTTCCATCCTGACTTTAAGACTTAGATTAAAACTTAAAACTTAAAACTTAGATTTAAACTGTAGAGATAGGTTGCCAAACCAAACTGTGATACCATATCTAACAACGCTTTCAAGAACAGATTTATAAAACAACATCATAAGCTTCTTGTCAATTTCAAAAAGATGTAACCTTCTTAAAAAAATATAATCTTCACAATTACTCTGTGAATGTCCTTGAGTGGCCCAGCCAGAGCCCAGATCTAAATCCTATTGAACATCTCTGGAGAGATCTGAAAATGGCTGGACACCATTGCTTCCCATCCAACCCGATAGAGCTTAAGTGGTACTGCAAAGAGGAATGGGCAAAAATTCCCAAAGACAGGTGTGCCAAGCTTGTGGCATCATATTCAAAAAGACTTGAGGCTGTAATTGCACCCAAAGGTCCATCATAAAGTATTGAGCAAAGGCTGTGAATACTTCTGTACGTGTGATTTTTCAGGTTTTTATTTTTAAAAATTTTTACAGCAATTTCAAAAAGTATTATTTCACATTTTCATTATGGTGTTTTGTGTTTAGAATTTTGAGGAAATATACAAATTTAATCCATTTTGGAATAAGGCTGTAACAAAAAAAAATTTGAAAAAAGTGAAGATAAATACTTTCTGGATGGACTGTATACACTTAAGGTCAAATTACAACTCTTCTGTTTTTTATTTGGTATATATTTTAGCTTATTTTTATCACACAATTTAACAAACTGGCAAATTTCTGACTGATAGATAACATTATATCATGCTTATAAAGTAAATTTAGTACAACTGTCATCAGAAAATTTAAAAATAAAATTCAGTGAATGCTTATGACACAAGATGACACATGCCATTGCTGAATGATCAATTATGAATCATCAACTACCACAATTTCAATCAAAATCTGCTTTAATGTTATTCTGACAAAAAGAAACTAGTCAATTTTAATTTCTGGATGAACTATCCCTTTAAGAGCCACAACGTCTCCATGAGCTCCTACTCTCTCTCAAGTATACATACAAGTTTGTGTATGAGCTGCTCTGCATCTGCGCGCGAGAGAGGGAGGAAAAAAGGCAGATTGTGCAGCTTTCTCCTCCCATTGGCGACTTCACACGATGGCAATGTTGAGCAGTGTAGGCTTGATCGTGATCATGTGACGGACAGCTTTGGCAGAGAACAGCACTGAACACAGAAACATCAGGCGCAACTAAAGGAGTTTCCACAAGCGCGAGGGAGACAGAGTCTACAAGTGAACGCCGCCGCGCTTTAAAACCGTTATTCGAGGGTTCTGACAGACACCGAAAGTCCCGTGGAAAAGCTGTCATCAGCAGTTTGGATAAAGAGGTTTGGTGGCGGTGTAAGAAGAGGAGAGGACGCACAAATCTCAGCGGGCATGCGGGAGTTTTTGGAGTTATTAGACGTCAAACATCCAACAAACATATAAGAACTTTCGCGAAGGTCCCATTTCTTAATTGCGTCATCGCTGTTTTTTTGTTTTGTTTTGTTGTTTTTTTGTGTGTGGTGGGAAAACTGATGGTTGAGAGCGATACAAAGTTGCAACGTTTTGTTTGAAAAGTAGCAGGAGTGTGGAATAAATACGGGGAAACACATTAAAACCCCCGCAGTTTGCTTTTTTGGTAAGGGGCTTTCGTGTTTTCCCTCAGACGTACGCATTTTTAAGGCAAAATTTTAAACATGGTTGGGGAAATGGAAACGAAGGAGAAGCCTAAGCCCACTCCTGATTATCTGATGCAGCTCATGAACGACAAGAAGCTGATGAGCAGCCTGCCAAACTTCTGTGGGATCTTCAACCATCTCGAACGACTGTTAGATGAAGGTCAGAGTTCTGTTTATCAGTAAAAAACGTAACAATGTCCTCAGATGTGTCATAAATGGGCTATGATAGGATAAATATGCTGTTATTGTTAAAAAGTGTTCATAGTTTTCTAATTTTTTAGCTGTAAATTATATATGTAATATCAATAATAACATATTTTTATTAGACCTAGTCTAATAAATTTTTTATTAGATGCTAGTCTATCAAGCATCCAATTTATTTATTGATATTTTCCCCACCCCTTGTTGATTATTTTCGCCATTGGGTGGCGTTAAGTGTGTGAATTCATGAGTAAATCTTTGAATTACCCATTCTCTAGAATTCCGAGACTTTTAGTATTGAAGTTTTGTATAACACATACACTGACACTGCAGGCTTAAAGGGATAGTTGATCCAAAACCAATCTTTCCAATCTTTTATGAATGTATTTCTTCTGCTAAACACTGAATAAGATATTTTGAAGAATGTTGGGGAAAAAAGTCCATTGACTTCAATAGTACGTTTTGTTCCTTCAGTGGAAGTCAATGGCTGAATTTTTGCCAACACTCTTGCTTTATGTTTAACAGAAGAAACGTGTTTGAAACGAGTAAAGTACACTAATCGTAGCTTAACCATAATATTTGTAGTTATAGAAATGGTAATATGACATGGTTACTACACTTTTTCTATTATAAATCTATGGTATATTAAGAGTTTTATACACATTCATAATTTTCCATCCGTTTTCTTTGTGTATGTGTGTGTGTGAATGAGATTAACCTTGAGATTTGAGATGTCTCAAAACAACTCCAGTGAAGAGGGCTTTTTGTTCCACTTTTTTTTTCCAGCTAATGAAATTAAATGTTTCTTCACAACACATACTTGAAAATGGTTGTCTCGTGGTCAAGGGTGCATTTACATGACATGATTTTTAAATACTTTTATGTGTTTTGGCCATTTTTTGACAATGTTTATGGGTCATGTAAAGGCAAGCTTTTAAAAAACGATTTCTAGTTTTAGTAAAAGCTGCTCTGATCATCTTGGTTTAATCTACAGAAATGTGATTTTGTAAAAACTGTGTCACATTGTCCATGCAAATGACATATTCAATTTGAGTATGTGTGCAAAAGTATATAACAAGTGGTGCACAAGTAATTAATATTAATTAATTCAATATTTGGGCTGCACAATTAAACCAAAGGGGATGGTCATGTGCAGTTTTTTAAGTTTTTTTAAACACAATCATTCTGTGAAAATGACAGCATCACTTCTAAGTGAATTATAGCGCTGTTTAGTAAATGCTGACACATCTGAAAGCATGTGAATATATCACAATTAATGGCATTTTTTTACTCTAAACTCACACAGCATCTCAATTGGATTCAGATCAGGGCTTTTACTAGGCCACTCAATTTTTTTATTTTGTTTATCTTCAGAAGAAGTGTATTCTTCAGTCCAGTCTGATATAAATCAATGAGATGGTGATTCTGTATTGAATCACCATCATTGAATCGTCGAAACCAGTCAGTTATTCTGTTTATACAGAAACATCTATCAGCATTTCCCACTATATTGGGGTTTTCATATGAGAGCGCCCTCTGGCTTTTGGAGGAGATTTACTACACATGACAGAACCATTCTTTCCTCACAAGATGTGCAGGACAATTGGAGCTTTTGCTTAATTATGATTGCAATTACATTTCAATTTCTTGCCCAGCACAAGTTTAGTGGTTGTTCGACATAACATCACCATCTACTGGCCTGGCATGCATCATAAGTTTTTTTTGTGGAACCCTGTGAACGTGAGTAGTTTTCACCACATTATCATGATTGCGTAAAAACGTTTAATTTTTAATACATTGTTGCTGTTTTGTACATGCACACGTATTTAGAAAAGCAGTAATACCATATTTTCTACAGATGTCTGCTAGTTATTTTTGTGGAAATATAGAAAATGGTCTTAATTTCATGTTTTTTAATTTTATGCTGGCTTTTTGAAAGATTTAGATTGTTTAAATCTTGCCTCAAACAACAGTAGATGAAAACATTTTCTTTATTTACTTTGCTCAAATAAATCAGTTAGATGACCTGGAAATGTCTCTGATCGAAGGCAGATATTTTCTAGAAAACCAATTAAATCGGCACAGATGTGTTTAATGAAAAAAACATCAAAACATGATATGGCGCAGTTGAATGATACTCAGATTTGAGGAACTGCTGGCTGTAATCGAGACTAGCCTACTTGTTGGTTTTATGAATCTAGTGGCAGGGCTATTTTTAACATTTACTACAGTGGCAAGTCATCTGTCTAGCCTCTCCAGACCTAGACGATATTGTAGAACAAATCTTGTACTACATTATATGCCAAAAATCTGGAGTTTGTTTAGGATTGGCACACTTTTAACTTCTCCGAATGCTGCGAAACGCATGCTAGCAGCAGTTCTCCCTCTGAGAATGCAGGGGAAGCTGATAACAGAATCACTTCTCACTTTCTTCCCCTCATTTTAATCATACAGCCCTGGTTTATTTCATTCTCAGTTTATTGCTGATAATCCAGTGTAATAATATAAAGGTTATCGCTGCAATTCTTTCACGGAGAGAAGGGCGATCTGTTAGATTTATATCCACAGTGTTCTGCAATTCATATTAGAGTGAATACAGCCTGTCTGTTTCATTGGTACACAGAATCTCTCTAGATTCATCATAGCACATTTATAGCTTGTGGCATATTAAAATATGTATTATAAATAACCTTACTTAGCTTGGGTTTTTCAGTTCCTCGGTTTAGAGATAATTTAGCTTTGCCCTTACTTGAATACACTGCAATCAGGATGTAGATTTTGAAATGTTTATTAACAGAAAAAATAGATTATAGCTTTCATTTTACTATCATTGTTTTGTTGTATAGCTTTATTATATCATTTATTTTCCTTGTATGAGGATCCCAGTTCTGTCAGGTTATTTTAAAGAGGTTACTGTGTAATAGGCTTGGTATTTGCTTTTCACACAATCAGTATGTTTTATGATGCTGAAGAAATCTATTGTTGCAGTTTTCAACTAGGGCTTCAGAGTGCAGTATGTATATCTCCTATAGTCACATTTTAGTGATAATAGTTAAACAAGCACTACTGTTTATCACTTTCATTTGTTTTTCAATGGATAGTTCACCCAAAAATGAAAGTAACCTCATCATTTACTCATCCTTATGTCATTTTTTAACAACTTTATTTTTTTAACACAGAAGATAATTTGAAAAATGCTGATTGTTGGTATTCATTGACCTCCATAGTAATAATATGATAGTCAAAGGGTGCCATCATCCAGGATTCTTCAAAATAACTTATTTTGCATTCAACAGAAGAATAAAACTTGGTTTTAAACCAAGTGAAGCGTGAGCAAACAATAACAGAGATTTCATTTTTGGCTGAACCATCCCTTTAAGGCCTGTTACAGCGCAAATATTCCAATTTATAATATATATATATATATATATATATATATATATATATATATATATATATATATATATATATATATATATATATATATATATATATTCCAATATAATTTTCCAATTGCAATAAAAGTTTAAAGCATTTACATGCAAAAAAGAATGTTTAAAACTTTGTTCCTGAAAAGTGTTCCGCCAGTAAAACATAAAACAGAGTTTTATTTATTGTAAAACTATTTTATATATTTATAAAATTTATGTTTGCTGTTAAATTATTATATTTTAGCTAACATATTTATAATATTTTAGAAAATCTTTAAAAAATATTAAACATTTAAAAAAATATTTTTAATATTAAAAATGGATATCTTCATATTTCAGGGTGTTTTTTTGTGATATGGTGCTGTATTTACATGAAACAAGTGAAAGAATCACTGACTCATTGGCTCAAGTAATTCATAAACTAAAGAACTGGAAAAACTCTGTATAGTGCTGTCTGAGATGCACAAATGTTCTATTATATAACTCTTTAAAAAAAACAAAACAAAACAAAACAAAAAAACAATTCAAAGCAAAAAAAAAAAAAAAAAGGAAAATAATACTGGTTCTAACTCGATATCAACTCTAATTTGTTGAAGTGTTGTACTACATTATCCACACATAATCCATTATCACAAAATACTTCAAATTTCAAGATACCGATTTTCGATATCAAAAATATTTTCAAACAACATTGACTTACTGTATGAAATTTATATTTTAAAGATAATATATATATTTAACTAAGATCACAAAAGCAATCAAATACAGCATGATTACAGCATAACAAATTCGTATTTACATAAAGCAAGAGAAAGGATTACTGACTTATTGGCTCAAGTAATTCATAAACTAAAGTACAGGAAAAAATCCAGTATACAGTGTTGTCTATGATGCACAAATGTTTACTTCCAAACTCTTTAGAATATAAACACAAACAAAGCAACAATAAAATAATACTGGTAGGGCTGCACAATATTGGAAATAAACCGACATTGCGATATTTAGTTTTTCTGCAATTGATATTGCAATATAAATATAATTTCACAGTATGACTAATACCTCTGTAGAGGAGTGAATCTGCATAATACATATACAGTTGAAGTCAGAATTATTAGCCCAATAGTCCCCCTGAATTATTAGACTTGTTTATTTTTCCCCCTAATTTTTGTTCAGAGATTTGTACAACACATTTATAAACATAATAGTTTTAATAACTCATGTCTAATAACTAATTTATTTGATCTGTGCCATGATGACAGTACATAATATTTTACTATATAGTTTTTAAACACTTCTTTACAGCTTAAAGTGACACTTAAAGGCTTAACTAGGTTAATTAGGTTAATAAGGCAGGTCATTGTATAACAGTGGTTTGTTCTGTAGACCATTGAAAAAAACAATCTAGCTTATAGGGACTAATAATATTGTCCTTATAATGGTGTTTAAAAAATTAAAAAACTGTTTTTAATTTAGCTGAAAAAAAAACAATTAAGGCTTTCTTCAGAAGAAAAAAATATTATCTAACATA